CCATTGTGACACACTTGGCCAGATGAAACCCTTCTCTAGCAAATCCTTCAATTGTTCCTTTAGCTCTTTCAATTATGTCGGTGCCATTTTGTAAGGTGGAATTGATATAGCTACGTGCCTGGAATTACACCGATCCCAAAATAAATCTCTCTGTCTGGTGGGATCCTAGGGAGCTCATCTGGAAAGACATTCAAAAATTCATTCACAACTAGCATGGACTCAAGGCTAGGTGCCTCGGCATCGGTGTGTAACTCAGACTCAATGATAGATACACCCCTTCTTGATCATCCTTGCGGCCTTAAGGTAAGAAATAAACCGACCTTTTGGCACCACATTATCTCCCTTCCATTCCACAACGGGCTCATTTGGAAATTCAAGCCTTATAGTTCTAGTCCGACAATAAAGTTAGGCAAAGCATGAATAAAGCCAGTCCATTCCCATTATTACATCACCATCGACCATCCCCAATTCAATAAGACCGGCCATGGTATCCCTACCGCATACCGTAACAACACAACCTCTATAAACTCGTGCAGCCGTAATAGTCTCACCCACCGGAGTAGACACCGAGAATGGCTCATGAAGCTGTTCTGGTTCTATCCCAAATTACATAGCAATATAAGGGGTAACATTGGACAAGGTAGAACTAGGGTCAATAAGTACATACACATCATGAGATTGGACAGTCAGAATACCTGTAACAACATCTGGAGAAGCCTCTGCAGTCTGGAGACCACTCATAGCATAGAACCGGCTGGGTCCTCCCGAACTCTACGCACCAACCCTAGTTGCACCATGCCCCGCGAGTGCTGGGGTACCTCGAGCCGGAGAGGGGGCTGAAGATGTAGCAGCTACAGGGCTGGCTGGCTATGATGTGCCCCTACCCGCTCCCTAGAGGGATACACGACAATACCTCTGAATATGACCCCTCATCCTACATCCATAGCATACGGGTAACTCCAAGTAGCAAATCCCTGAGTGCATTTTCCCACACCTGGGGCACGGGGACCTCTGTTGTTGCTGGGATCTCTCTCCTGACCAACCCCGTTTGTGGGATTCCCTGTTGCCCTGACTGGGCCTGAAACGACTCCACTGCTGCTGCTGGCTGGGCCCTGATGGCAGTGCACTGGCTGAAGACTGTGCGACAGACTGGGACGGCCCTGATGATCCTCCCCTAAAAGCTGATCTTCCCCCACCTAGTGACTCTCCCAAGTTGCCCGCAGATCGGGCCTTGCTGTTACCCTCTCTTTCCATCCTTCTCTCAGTTTGTGGTTCTCTGTGGCCTGAGAAAATGCCACCATCTTCCCATAATTCATGTCAGAATTCAAGGCAGTTGTAGAAGCCTCATTAATAGTCAAAGGATTAAGGCCCTGAACAAACCGGTGCACCCTGGCCTCCATTGTAGGAAACATGTGAACAACATACTTGGACAGGCGGGCAAACTCCATGTGGTACTCCCACACACTCTTGCTACCTTGCTTTAGATTCTCAAATTCCGCTGCGCGGGCTGCCCTTCCCTCGGTAGGCAGGAAATGATCTACAAAGGCATCGGCAAACTCGCTCAACCTCGCCGGAGGGCTCCCCTCCTCACGGGAATCTTCCCACAGCTCAAACCATGAATAGGCCACCCCTTTCAAAAAGTAGGCAGCCAACTCTACTCCTTCTGTCTCAGTTGCACGCATAACCCTGGGGGTCTTGTGCATCTCATCAATAAAATCCTGGGAGTCTTCCTCGGGATTTGCACCCGTAAACAGCGAAGGATCTAGCTAAAGAAATCTATTTATCCTAGAACTGGTGGAATCCCCTTGCTGGCTAGATGAACTGGGTGCAACATCTGGCCTCTGGGCCTAAGAGGCCACTAGTTGAGTCACCATCTGAATAGCTCCCCTATGATCCCCATCAGAATTACCAGAACCGGAAGTTGGGGCTGGAGGCGGAACATGAATATCAGTGGGAGGGATAGTAGCACCCTCAGCAGGTAGGAACTGGTGTAGCAGTCGGGGGATTGTCCTCACCCCTAGGGTTCTCACCCGCATCATCAATCACGGAGTCGACTGCCACTCCTGGGGCAGCATTGGCTCCTTGGCCAGTTCTGGCTTTCTTCTTAGGTGCCATGTACTGAAAGTTGAAGGAATGCACTAGTTAGAGGAGGAATAGTTTCATAATTGCCACACAATCCAGAATATCAATGAAGGGTGTTATTTCTAAATGCCCAAGTAGCCTCCAACTTATAGATGTGGTCGACTACACACCGATAAAAAGGACTCTACTAGATACAGCTCCGAGACATCCTAGGACACTTAAAAACCTTATGCTCTGATACCATGTTTTTCACGTCGCAACCTTGGGAGTCGCGACCGGCGCTCAATCGAGTGAACCTAACTGAGCAAGCCTTTTGAACACTTTCTACCCAACTCACTATGACCAAGAAAACCATGCTTCAATTTATTTAAACAGTAGGAAAGGTCGTACATATAACATTGCTAATTCATTTCATATTACCACATTAAAACCATAGTTAAGTTCCAAAGATTTCATACGGATACAGTTGGAAGAACTAGAGTTTAGAAATTACAACACAGTTCTTGACCCATCCATTACCCGTACATAACCCATACAAACGTCTACGGTGCCTCTAAAGATACAAAAGACAGTTATGATAACGCTCACAACAAGGCCCCGACTATACCTCAATAGTGGAAATTTATAACAAAAGACATACTACATAACCCCTGGAAGAAAAGTGGCTCACCAAGGTTGCTGAGTGGAGGATGATCCGCTACCTACGATCGGCACTGTCTCCTATGGAGCCACCTACATCCATTCAAAGATGTAGCGCCCTGGCAAAAGAGGCTTTAGTACCATGGAATAGTACTAGCACGTATAACTAAACACAATCTCATTAGAAAGAACTATCATACAAGAACAAAGAAATCATAAGGATCAATCAAAAGCTTTAAACGATCATCACATCATCAAATAAAAGATTCATATAACTTTCACATAATTTTCATAGCTTTAGGTTGGGGCATTTAATACTGTTCATCATAATTCACAATACCACCGCTTTTATTGCGCGGAGTCTGATCACGACCCGATCGGCTAGGTTGCCTCATTTGAGGCATGTATCTCAATCACAATCTCATTCTCACTTTCCGGATTCATCTCAGCACAATACCACCATGTCTGCGGCATGGTGTCCGATCACGGCCGGATCGGCTAGGCCGTCTTACCAAGACATTGTTCCTTTTTCATTAATCATCTCATTTCAATCTTTATTTCGCATATCAATTCATAGGCACTTGGGGCCGCAATTATCACATCTTACTTGGCACTAGGCCACATTTCACATCATTTCCACTTTCAACGTTAACCTTGCAATTTAAGATAATAGGCACACACAAGAGCAATTCAAGTTGTAAGCTTAGAGAGGATTTCACATAGTTTGGCACACAATCTCAGTTTAAACTTGACTTGAAGTCTAGGCATTTCAACACATGGTTCACATTATTCACGCATGTTTAAATTACCAAGAATAGTATATTGAACACATTAAGACGCACCTTTCACATATATATATAATTGCAACACGAATTCATCTGAAATAGCAATCAATACATCAATCAAATTTCGGTCTTACAACATTTGCATGCACACCAAAGGAGCTCAATTTCTAAGAAGAGGGGGTTTTAACCATACATACCTCAATAGAGCTTTCCTTAAATTCTTACAAAATTCCGGAACTCTTAGCAACTTCGATCTATTTTATGAGATTTACAAGTTGAACCAAAAAATTAGAGAGACGATTAAGATTCTACCTCATTTGAGTGTATTATCAATCCCTAAGTGTGCATTGTGATTTTAGGACCCTTTTGTGAAAGATTTTTATCATCCTACACCCTATTCGTTATATTTTTAGCTCACAATCTCCCCATACCCTGTTATCATCCATGCATGCAAGATAATCAATCCTTATATCCATGAACCCACTTGTTAATCACTTGTTTTAATATAAATTTCGAAACTAAGATTAGAGCACAAGTTCTTACCTCTTAGGATGAAGGCCTAGGAAATTTTACTTGAAATTCCTCAAAGATTTGGGCAAGGATTGTAGTGACTTGGTGAGAACTAGTTTCTCACTCTAGAACTCCTCTCTCACACTAAATGCAGTAAAATAGCAAAAAAGGGGTCTAACGGGGGGTGTTTTTAATGGGATGGGGTCGGATTTTAAAAGATAGAAAATTGGATCCCCGACTAAATTTGTGGCCGCATATGCGACCACATATCTGATATGCGGCCCGCATAAGGGACCGCAAAATGTCCCTCAAAACATCAACATTCTGCCCTAGTATGCGACAAGAATGCGGTCCGCATACCGGTTCTGCGGTCGCATAATGCACCGCAGAATGCCCCTCGCAAAATTCCAAAGAGGTTAGGCGATGACTATGCAGCCCGTATATTGATCATGCGATAGCATAATCTGCCACATATTTGACCTCAAAACTAACAAACATCCTGCCTCACTCTGCGGCAACTATGCGGTCCACATAGCTATTATGCGACCGCATAATGGACAGTAGAAATACGCTTTTCTGAAAAATATTTTTCCTTAACTTTTTAATGCACACACTACTAGAAATTGGAGCTATGACAACGCTTTCTGTTGCTACGGTTTTATAACCGTGCTATAGGTGGTATATTGTTACGATTGTAACTGTTACTAAAAATGATTGGGACTACTGGGACACTTAGTAACTGAACCGTTTCCATAGTCTAAAAACCGTTCCGATAGAGGTATATATGGCAACGCTTTATATAACTGTAGCAATAAATCAATCTATGGTAACGGTTATCTCTAATGTTACGGTTATTAATTCCCTCTTTTTTTTTCACCCAAATTTTTAATACCCGCTAAAATGGAAGGGCCCACCATCTAATTTTTTTTCTTAGTTTTATACCTAATAAAATATGAACTACACAAAACCCCTAAAAATACCTAATAAATCAATTGGCGGGTCTCTCCTCCAGTCATCTCCAAAATAGCTCCTCCCGTACTCCCAAAATCAGATCAAAATCAACGAAAATCAGTCAAAAAAACCTCAAAATTCCAAAATATAGCAAATTAGAGAGTTGTTTGCCGGATTCAAGAGCTCTTTCGCGGTTGGGATCGAGATTACGAAGCCTTTGCATCACTACCTGATTCTGCTATTGATTTAGAGAGACTAAGCTCAGCTTTTTAGGGCTTCTGTTCTTCTGCAGAGTCAACAATTATGTTCCTTCTACGGTAATTCGTTTTCCTTCAAAGAGACCTCATTAGCAAATCGAGTTGAGGCCGCGCTCGACTGCTGCTCTTCATAATCTCCTTCTCCGGCGAACTCGGCTGAGAAATCGAGTGGTAAGCACCTTTCTTCTCTCTCTGTATTTACCAATTGTATGAATCTATTTCTCAATTTGGACTGCATGTTCTTGTTTTTAGCTGAAAATTCCAACTTTAGGTCACATGATAGTATTTTGGGATAATAATATTCTCTCATCTAACTACTGGGCATGAAGAATGGTAGTTATAGGCTTCAAACGCCACTTAGAGGATATGTGGTATTTGGAAAACTAATGTTATTTTGTATTTTCTGGAGAGGACCTCTGACTCTGGGTGAGATGATCCTCTTTGTCTTGCTCTATTTGATTACTAACAGATAACCTGAGTTACTCGAGCCTCGCAAAGTTTAAGATTCTATAGTTTGGTAAGTCTAAATTGGCATGTGCATATAATATCAATTTGTGATGGAGGGGCCACTAGGATTGACTTGAAATATCTCTTTGGCCTTAGTTTGTGTTTGAAGTGCAGAGGTTGACAACCTGATGAAATTGCATTTCTTGTTTCTTGCCTCAACCACTATAATTTCAGTTGTAGTTTTTTAGCTTGGCAAGTCTAAACTAGAAAGTGTATAACATCAATCTGTGATGGAGTCAGTCTTGGAAAATCCCGTTTATCTTACTTTGTGTTGGAAGTGCGGATGTTGGCAGCTTGATGCAACTGCATTTCTTGTTTCTTGCATCGACTGCTATAATTTCAGTTATAGTTCTTTTTCCTTTTCCAAGCTTGTTTCAGTGCGAACTGGATTAGAGGGACCCAGACTTACTGCTGCTCAAAAGATATGGTACTGCGTGGTGAGAGTCGGTGGTCAATATATATGGGCCCGTTTACAATCATTTTCTGCTTTTCGGAGATGGGGCGACTCTGAGCAGGTACTGCTCGCTCCACCTCACATATTCTACTTGTTTGTTTAACATGCCAAGTTTTAATGGTGAGAAATCTGTGATCACTAAGAAAACTCCTCTGTTCTCTAATGGCTAGTATTCTTCAGAAGTCCAAATAAAACTTGGTTTGTTATGGCATGGAACCTCCACAGCAGGCAATATTCTACATATCGAAAGTATAAATTGGCATATGATCTGAATGGACTATATCGTGAATTCTATGTTCATGTTCACTTTGATTCTAATATTCATCTTGCTTTCTTGGTTATCAATATGTTCTCCCGTGTTGTTGACCTTGATCCTTTTTTATTTGCTTTTGTATTGCTTTCTGCTCTCTTTGCTTGTTTCGATTCTTATCTCTTTCTTTCTTTTCTTTTGTCATTCTTCTTCTTTGACTTCTCAGTGCTTTTATGTTTGTCAACAATATATTTGTGTGATGCATAAGATGTTTCATGTTCCGTGTTGTTGTTATTCTGATGCTGCTCCTTTCTACTACTCCTTGTACCCTTTCCTGATTCTTGGTGACAAATAGTTTTACTGGTTGGCTTTCAGAATTTTCTACTCCTTTGTCCTTCACCCATGTGTGTGTAATCTTTAATTTTGAGTGACTCTAAACTTTTTATAGCTTCATCTAAACTTTATCGGGAATTTTGTTTCACTTATCTCAAACTTGAACACCCTTGCAAAAAGTTTCTGGCTTCGCCACGGATCGTTGGTAGATAAAAAATAGAAGGGGTTCAAGATGTAGTCGATGGTGTGACAAGATCTAGTCTTCTTGATGCATCTTTTATATATCTTGGCATTGCTTTTGATATCAATTCTCCTCTGAATGATGACAGGAAAGTAAATGAAAACCACCTTCTAGCTGTTGGAAAAGAGTGAACAAATTTGGTGGTTTTCATTTGGTCCCTATTAGTGAGTACACAGAGAGAGTTGGAAAGTTTTGTTTGTTATGTGAGTGAGCTGTAAGCTTAAAAAGTTGTATTGTACCTGTTCCTCTTCCATATTAACATTATTCAGAACTTAGGCTGAAACAGTAGGTCCTTTAATGTGTAGTCATATATCCTTCTAAGAGGAAACTGTGGATCCTAAGTTTCTATAATTGGAGAGGTCGATATCGAATTTTAAGTTAGCAGATGTAGAATACCACTTTATGCACTACTCTTTGGTGGTAATAGAAGCACACTTAGGGTAGCAGCAATGCAGGCTAGGAATCTGCTATTGGAAGCTGTTAATACTCATGGCTAATTAATTTTGTGCACAATATTGAAATTTCTATTAAGTTTGTTTATTTACATTGCAATTGGATAATACCTTTTTGGATTCGTGTTATTTGGTTGGAACAGAGAGGAATTGTTGTGCTTTCTCAGCATCCTCCATATTGCTGGAGCATACATTTACTGCAAAAAGGACTTGTTCAACTTATGAATATATAATATGCTGTTAAATTATAGCAATATCCATCTTTCTATGATTTGTCATGTCATTTGTTAATCCTGGTTTCATTACAAGATATACAAAGTTTCAATCTGGTTAATTATCTGATAGATGAGGCTTTTGGCTCAACCACCATGATTCAGGTCAAGCATTTTGAACTTGATGGGCATATATAAAGTTTTATGTGGTTTTAACCATCATTCTATCTCATATTTCAAGTTCACTATTAATTTTTTTTCTTTTTGTATATGTTTTTCTGCATGCAGTATCATACATTTTGTGATGGTGAGGGTGAAAACTGCAAATTAACCCTCCCCATGAAAATGATAGGCAATGAGCAACCATTTTAATGCTACACTGCTTCCGCGGACAAAATTGAACAGTGTAGGCACATGCACGCAACAGGGTCTCTATGTGTGTTGAATGACTTACTCTCTAATCTGTTGTGATCTTGGTAATGCATTGGAGAGTTCTAATTTACTAGTAAAATAACTTAGTGATATCATATGGTATCACAATCAAAATAGCTGGCAGTACTTGTGAAGTTAAACCACTCACAGCAGGAAATGGCCATTTTGAGGTTGCATTTAAATATACCTTCTGGCATCCCTTGTTCTTTCTCGCACATATACCTGGCAAGATCAACCCGATATTGAATTTTTTTCATCCGTCAATATCAAAGTCAATTCCATCCGAAATAGACTCATCATGAGGGCAAGAGGACAATTAAATCTACTAATCTACTGATCAGCAGGTAATAGAAGCAAACGTAAATCTACCACTTTATGAGCTGGTAGGTCTAACTGAACTCTATTATGCCGGTAGCCATGCTATGGACATCATGCTGCCAGTCAAAAATATGTCGTCTACTAACGATTCAAAGTGTATTAAATTTACTGATCAACAGGTCTTATATTAGCTGCATTATCAGATCCTATCCTTTCTTTCCGTTGTAAACATTGCTATCTAGTTCAATTTCTGACTTACTTTCCTAATTTCCTAACTACTTTTGCAATTTCTTTTTGAGCAGGGCAAGGAAATTAATATGTTCCAGCCTGCTCGTAAATTTTTACCCATGATTGATGAGGTAGGTGCTTTAGAAGGTTTTTCTAAAAGTATTTCAAACCAGTAGATGACTCTTTCTTTCAGCCGGAAGAGAAAAAAAGGTAATTTAAGACGTGAACTTAACTTGTTTGACTACTTTGCAGGTTTTTAAAACCCTTGCCGAGAAAACTAAAGACATTAAGGATGCGAAGGTTGAGCACCATAAGTTTTGTGCCTCTGTACATTACCGTAATGTAGATGAAAATGTGAGTGCCAACTTTTCTTGTTGCTTTTTCTTAATGTCAAGTGGATGCTGGAGTTGCCCATGTTAACAAAAGAACGGACATCTAATGATCTTCATTTTGACCACAGAATTGGCCAGTCGTTGCACAATACGTCCATGATGTCTTGAAAGACTACCCTCGGCTACGGCTAACTCATGGGCGGAAGGTAATTTGATGTACCTATCATTGTCTCAGTTTCAATTCCTGGCCACTGCAACATTATAATAATGATATAATTAACGCTATACGTGTGCAAACTGGCTTCTTTTCCTTTTAAATCCTATAACAGGATTAATTTGATATGTTGTTCTTTTTTAGTAGCTTGCATGTACATTTAATGTCCAAATTTGGGTCTAGATAATGTGTTTCTGTAGAAGAGCTAGGCTCATGACTAGCATCTTGTACGTCCATTATTTTCTTTTTCTTTCTGGATCAATTTATTTAGTCCAGGCATTCCAGATGAAAGGTAATGACTTTATTTATCCTCTTTTGTAGGTGGAATAGATCAAGAAATAGAAGATGAAGGCATTGAAGATCTAGACCTTACTTAAGATGAATTTTGAATTGCTATAGATGAATGATCTAGGAATCTTTTGTTGTCAACATTTTGAAACTTACTATCTTGAAATGTATTAAACTTATGCACTTGAGCTATATTTCTATTTTAAATGAACTGTTACAATAGCCTACCAGCACCGTTGCAATAGGACACAAATGGCGTTCCATTAGAATGTAAACTGTTCCAATAGAACCGGTAAACCGTTCCAAAATGCCCTCTAAACTGTTCTAATAGGTATTTAAAATCGTAGCAATACAAGAACAACCGTTACAATAGCTTAAAGAGACCGTTGTTATATCCATAAATAACCGTAACAATAGCTTACGAAAGTGTTGCATTAGATAATATGGTAACGTTTATGAGCTGTTGCATACACATTATAGTAACGGTTTTAAACCGTCCCAATTGGAAGGAATAATCGTTCCAATAGAGAAAGGGAAAATCGTGCGATAGACGTTTCTATAACAACGGAGATGAAAACCATTCCAAGAACTGTTCCAATAGCTCTATTGGCACGCGAGCGGATTTGACGGTCTGTAAACCGTTCCTATATCGCTACGGCAACGGTTTATCTACCTACTGGAACGGTTTTCCATGCGTTACCGTAGACCAATTTTTCAGTAGTGACAGATCAATCCAAAAAGTCCGAACTGCGGCGAGTTTTGTAGATTTTCTTACACATATTCCTAACTTGGCACTACGAGCTTTCTGGTTTTTGAGTGAAAATTTTACGGGGCCTTACATGTAGGTATACTGAAGTTCTTTGCTCGGTACTTTGTTGAACTTAAGAATATTGTTATACCTTATTTCATCGACCCGATTATCCATCTGTATGACTTTATTGCATCTAGGTAGGTCATACTATACCATAACTCTTACTTCGATTTATCATTACTGAGGTCTGCTACCGAACTCCAGGTTACTTTCGTTGCTTATCTCATAGGTATAAATCTAAGTCCTTTAATTCATCCTCATTACTTGTTCATCTTAGAATGGCGGCCCAATCTCACCTCATACTTTGTGGCTTTTGTCCATCCACTGTTGATTCACCTTAATGTTGATCTATCATCTACCAATGATAACTTGATCTCTTATGTAACACTGCCACTAGGGCTCACGTCTCACTAGGGACATCAGGAGTAATTAGATTGATCCACCTAGGGGCGATACTATACTTCCATAACCGTATTTTATAGCATCCCAATATGAATCACCTTACATGGGTATTTTAATCATGTACAATTCATTAAATCCTTTTCAAGTATTCACTCAATCGAAGGCCCAAACGTCATCCTTTATCTATCATAATTGTTACACCCCAAGTTTTCATACGTGAGAGTACGTCGTAAGTCATTGATGTAAGCTCGAAAATGAGATTATATTTGGAAGCAAATAAAGTAAGTTAATCATGTTACCTTGGAGGTTACAAATATTTAAGATCATGAATAACAAGTACCAAAAGGCTTGGAAAGCTTAGTCGCTAAACGAATTGAAGAAAATAAGTTTCGTCAAAAATCGACAAGTTTGGAATGTTATAACATATTATTTTGGGGTGAGACTAGGGTGATTAACATGATGAGGAGGTTAATTTATGAGTTATTGTAGTCGTATGATAGTCGTGTGTTATGTTTTTAAGTCAAAGGAGTTATGGAACAAAAGTTAGCAAAGGTCATCACAAGTTGCATGCGTAATGTGCTGAAATTTAGGTCAAATGTAGATGCACTTTTCTCCCAATATACTTGGAATCAATGGATGATCTACTTATCAAATTGAAGATCTACGAGTCTAATTTCCAACACATTAAACCGTTCGTCAATACAACATCGGAGTAGAGAGATATTCGTGTTTTCGCGAGACCGCGCAAGCAGCTCCCAGTGGGACCCACTTAGGCGGTGGTTGACCTACTTCAATTTATAAACGATTTGGACGCCTATTTTTCACTTATTTTCAACTCAACTTCATCTCCAAACTTCTCCTAACCCTTCTAAACAAATTCCACAAGGGTTTGAAGTGATTCCAAAGTGATTACACCATATTTCAACATCAAAACTTAGTTCTAGTGAAGAACAACACCTCTTTGAGGTTGTGTTGTCATTGAGGATTGTTGTGGGCTGTATTTGGATGAAATTCCAAGTTTTTGCCGCTGTATAAGGTGAGTATAACAGCCTACTAATTTTGCTTAAGCTTGCTTGTATGTTGGTTAAGTTGTTAGGATGATAAACTACAAGATAGTACTTGGATTAGCTTAAGTCACTTCTATGGTGTTGTATTGCTATTGAGGGTTGTTGTGAGCTGAATATAACTTGGATTTCGACTTGAAGTTACTATAGGAGTTGTGTGTATTGTGTTCTTGCATGTTCTTAAGGTTATCTTGATGTTGATTAAGTTAAATGGATGGAGTAGACATGAACTAGTGAATAAAGCTACTAATTGAAGATAGTTGGAGTTGAGGATTGTTTCCTTTGTTATAAATATATGGTATAAGGATGGAATTATTGATGAATGACTTCATTATCATGTAAATGATAGTTTTAAATTAATGTAAGAAGTCTATAAGGGGTGATATGGGTTATACGGATTCCAATCGGAGCTTGCCGCTCGTCGTGAAGTAGTTGTGACTTGTTGTTGTTATATGGTGTCTTGTTATTGATATTTATAGGTTGCTGGACTTCCCTGGCTGTTGTTGTTGGTATATGGTATTGGAGGAGGCCCTTATTACAAGGGAGATGCTGCCCGAATTTACGTAGACGAGCTACTAGCTTAAGTTACAGACTTAGCCTTTGTTCAACACTGATTTTGAATCTCCTTATGCTATGATATATCGAGTTGACTTGTTTGAAGAGTTGCTTAGAAGGTATTAAGGACTCAACATGTTTAAGGTATGTTAAGGCTCTTCCTTCTTTCTTTTGGCATGATCTAAAGTGAAACGAACATAAACNCTTTCGGGGGAGCAATTAGAAGAGAGGAATGTTGCCCCGTTAGTAGAATAAGGGTGTAATGTGATAGATAAAAGAATGACATTTAGGCCTTTGATTGAGGAATGATTTAAAGAAAAGGGATTTTATGAATTGCACGGGATTGGAATACCCCCATAAGATGAATCATGTTAGGATGCTACGAAATACGGTTATTGAGGTATAGTATCGTCCCAAGGTGGATCGGGCAAATCACTTCAGATGTTCCCCGATAAGATGTGAGCCCTAGTGACAGTGTATTACGTAAGAGGTTTCAAGTTATCAGTGGTAGATTTTGGATTAACATTAAGGTGAATCACCAATGGATGGATAAAAGTTGCAAAGTATGAGATGAGATTAAACCGTCATTATTAAGATTAACAGTAATGAGGAAGCATTAAAGGACTTAGATTTATACATATAGGACAAGCAGTGAAAGAATAACCCAGAGCTGGGTGGCAGACCTCGGTAATAATAAACCGAAGTAAGAGTTAGGATATAGCATGACCTACCTAGATATAGTAAAACCATAGTCGTAAGTTCGACAAAGTACCAAGCGAAGAACTTCAGTACACCTATAGATGCCTAGAGGGACATTTTGTCATAGTTCTGTATATGTTCACAAAGTGAGACCTAGAGATTGGCTAAAAGCTGGAGGAAAAAGGGAGAAGAGTCGCTAGGCACACATACAAGTACATAGTTGTACATGATGCATGTCAGAAGGTAACAATAGTTACGAGATTGGAAGAATTCCGACCACAGGTCGTGGTGTGAGAAAGAGGCCTAAAGGGGGGAATACCCTGGCCTTTGGATTTATTTACAGAATAGTTTCCTAGATGTCAAGGACAATATTAACGTATTCGTAAGAGCTACAGGTTATGAGAGTGATAAGTGCATTTGTCAACATTCGAGGACGAATGTTCCAGAGGGGGGAATGATGTTACACCCCAAGTTTTCATACGTGAGAGTACGTCGTAAGTCATTGATGTAAGCTCGAAAATGAGATTATATTTGGAAGCAAATAAAGTAAGTTAATCATGCTACCTTGGAGGTTACAAATATTTAAGATCATGAATAACAAGTACCAAAAGGGTTGGAAAGCTTAGTCGCTAAACGAATTGAAGAAAATAAGTTTCGTCAAAAATCGACAAGTTTGGAATGTAATAACATATTCTTTTGGGGAGAGACTAGGGTGATTAACATGATGAGGAGGTTAAGTTATGAGTTATTTTATTCGTATGATAGTCGTGTGTTATGTTTTGAAATCAAGCGAGTTGTGGAACAAAAGTTGGAAAAAGGTCATCACAAGTTCCATTCATAAATGTGCTGAAAATTAGGTCAAATGTAACTGAGTTTTTCTCCCAATATACTTGGAATTAGGGGATGATCTACATATCAAATTGAAGATCTACGAGTCTAATTTCCAACGCATTAAACCGTTCGTCAATACGACATCGGAGTAGAGAGATATTCGTGTTTTCGCGAGACCGTGCAAGCAGCTCCCAATGGGACCCACTTAGGCGGTGGTTGACCTACTTCAATTTATAAACGATTTGGACGCCTATTTTTCACTTATTTTCAACTCAACTTCATCTCCAAACTTCGGTTGTGTTGTCATTGAGGATTGTTGTGGGCTGTATTTGGATGAAATTCCAAGTTTTTGCCGCTGTATAAGGTGAGTATAACAGCCTACTAATTGTGCTTAAGCTTGCTTGTATGTTGGTTAAGTTGTTAGGATGATAAACTACAAGATAGTACTTGGATTAGCTTAAGTCACTTCTATGGTGTTGTATTGCTATTGAGGGTTGTTGTGAGCTGAATATAACTTGGATTTCGACTTGAAGTTACTATAGGAGTTGTGTGTATTGTGTTCTTGCATGTGCTTAAGGTTATCTTGATGTTGATTAAGTTAAATGGATGGAGTAGACATGAACTAGTGAATAAAGCTACTAATTGAAGATAGTTGGAGTTGAGGATTGTTTCCTTTGTTATAAATATATGGTATAAGGATGGAATCATTGATGAATGACTTAATTATCATGTTAATTATAGTTTTAAATTAATGTAAGAAGTCTATAAGGGGTGATATGGGTTATACGCATTCCAATCGGAGCTTGCTGTTGTCATTAAGGATTGTTGTGGGCTGTATTTGGATGAAATTCCAAGTTGTTGCC